GAGGACCCCAGGCCAAGTCCTGAGTAGTTGTGTGGCGACAACCTGGGCAGGGGCGGCTTGGGGCTGGCAGGGCTCCAACCACAACAAGTTCAAAGCCCCTCTCGGATGGCCAAGTGCAGACCCCATTTGTGGTCAGTGGCACTTAAAGTTGAAGATGTGGAGGGCGTGGTGAGAGGCTGAGCAAGCCATTGGCGGACATAGCATGGGGACCCCCAACTTCTCCCTGGAGGCTGAGCTAGGCTGGGAGTCCCCCCCACTGCCTCATGAATAGACTTTTCAGGGTTCAAGCCTTTAGGTTCAGAGTCATGTAAGGAGGAGGAGAAGGGAGGGCAGGTTGCTCAACGGTAGCTCCCTAATCCCAGCCTGCGCTAAGCCCTCCCTCTAACCTGCACCCTTGGGCTGTTCCAGGAGTGGAAATGAAGAAGATCACAGACGCCCACACGCCGTCCAGCCTGACCGTGAACCTGACGCTGTACTACATGCTCTCCTGCGCCCCCGCCCCGCTGCTCAGCCCCAGCCTGAGCCACAGGGAGCGGGAGCAGCTGGAGTCCACGCTCAACTACGAAGACCACTGCTTCAGTGGCCATGCCACCATGCACGCCGAGAACCTCTGGCCCGGGCAGCTGGCCAGTGTCCCGCAGATCCTGCAGCTGTCCGACCTGTGGAGGCTGACCCTGCAGAAGCGGGGCTGCAAGGGCCTGGTGAGGGTAGGCGCTCCGGGCATCATGCAGGGCATGGTGCTCAGCTTTGGTGGCCTGCAGTTCACGGAGAACCACCTGCAGTTCCAGGCCGACCCCGACGTCCTGCACAACAGCTACGCGCTGCATGGCATCCGCTACAAGAGCGACCACATCAACCTGGCCGTGCTGGCCGATGCGGAGGGCAAGCCCTGCCTGCACGTGTCTGTGGAGTCCCGAGGCCAGCCTGTGCAGATCTACGCCTGTGAGGCCGGCTGCCTGGAGGAGCCTGTGGAGCTGACCTCCGCGCCCCAGGGCCACACCTTCCCCGTCATGGTGACGCAGCCCATCACGCCGCTGCTGTACATCTCCACCGACCTCATGCACCTGCAGGACCTGCGGCACACGCTGCACCTCAAAGCCATCCTGGCCCACGACGAGCACATGGCCCAGCAGGACCCTGGCCTGCCCTTCCTCTTCTGGTTCAGCGTCGCCTCCCTCATCACCCTCTTCCACCTCTTCCTCTTCAAGCTCATCTACAACGAGTACTGCGGGCCCGGCGCCAAGCCCTTCTTCCGAAGCAAGGTACGAAGCAAGGTACCCAGCGGCGGGCCCCAGAGGCTGTGGTGAGGCCGGGACAGTGAGGGGAGCCGGGGCTGACCCTCACCCCTCAGCACCTTGGGGGTGGGAGTGTCTTCTTAGATGACACCAGAAAGTGATGTCAGAAGGAGCTTGTGGGGTGGCAGGGGACCCATATAACACCAGAATGGGTCACAGGTTGCTAAGGGACTGTCATCTGGGACTTATGGGGAGGGGGCCCAGGATGGGTGAGAAAGGGTGAGGCAGCCTTCTCTGCCTGCCCACCAGTCTCCCCTGCTGTCCCCTGAGGAGGAGCCTCAGGGAGGGGGGGCGCAGGCTGAGGGGAGAGGGCTGCATACACACACCCCCGCCCACTGTATTCCAAGCAGAGAGGGGGCGCTGTCTGCTCAGGTAGTTGGGAGAGAGGCCTCACCTCCCGGAGGAAGTAGGGAGGCCTTGTGGCTTCTGGCGCCAGGCCGGCTGGTCTCTCAGGCCTGAAGGACAGCTGGAATCTGAGGGGAAGCAGGAAGGCCAGCCCACCGGTGCCTCTGTTCTTGCCCTTGGCGGATACCCACCGGCCCTGGTTCCCTGCCTGCTTCAAGGAAGGGACTGCCCGAACCACCCTCGGGCCGCAGACCTGCGTCAAGAACAAGATGGAGTGTCTGTGCGCCTGCGCACAGCCCAGTCAGTGAGCACGGCCTGGGTGCCCCAGGGAGCCCCTTGGGCCCTGGGGCGGGGGGCGGGGGTGCTCCAAAGTGGCCCCACCCAGGGTCAGGCTGCGCAGGGCCGGCAGCGGCGCAGTGACGCTTTGTTTTCGCCGTTCGTTCGCAGGAGGATCCCAGTGTCTGAGGGGCAGAGGGACCGAGAGCCGCCCGGAGACCTGCTGCCCGGCCCGGGGCCTCCGGAAGCCGCCACCCTTAGTGCCTTGTTGGGGAGCTGCCTGCCGGCGCCGCGCGGGGGGCGGGGCGGGCCCGTGGACTTGGTGTAGCTTTGGGCTTAATAAAAGGAATCCACGCGGAAATACTTGAAACTGAACTCCTCCTTCCACGCCCCGCCTCCGTCCCACCCAGGACACAGGCCCTCTTTGAGGAAACCTGTTTAGGACAAACTGTTCTTAGCCTCCTGTAATGTGTTCCCTCTCGAATAAATGATTAATTTATTTTTGTGGATTTGGTTGGGTGGCTTTTGCTTGGGCCTCAGTTGGTGAGGCTGGTTGGCGGCACCCCTCTGAGGTGGCCGCACTGCCCTCCAGGCCTGACCCATCGCCTGTGGAGACCTGTGGGTTTGTACTTTGGGGTAGGGGGTTAACTTTCTAGTAATGGATGATTGTTGGGTTTTGAAATACCAAAGCTGCTTCCTGTTTTTAAATAAATAACTTTCAAAACTTTAATAACCGGCTTGGCGTGTGGTTGAAGCATTTTGGGAAGTGCCTGAAACGAGGGTGGCCCCCCAGCCCCTACCCGGGACCTGGAGTCTTCCCAAGTCATGGCAGGGGGAGGGGGGCTAGGCCCCGTCCTCCCTCTCCAGCCGCACCCGGAGGGATAGCCGGGCTGGGCGGGGCCGCAGGGGGAGCTCCGGAGCTTGGGCCAGACCCTTGTGCTGTGGGGCCGCCGGTGTGAGCTGTGCTCTGCCGGGGTTCTTTACGGCCCTGGAGCGACTGCCCTCAGCAGGTGGCTGTGAGAGAAAGTGAACGAAGGTTGGACCGGCGGGAGCCTGGTTCTGCCTTTCAGCTGCCTGACAATAGCCCAGGACCGCCTTTCGCCTGATGCTGGCCTGTCGGTATCTGTCAACAGACAGCCCAGACCGGATTTCACCATCTGCCAGGATGGCATACCCAGCCAGGACACCCCAAGGCCGCGGCCCCTGAAGCACAGGGCCGCAGGGAGACAAGCTGGCCCTGCAGTGACCTTCATCCTTGAGCGCAATGGTTCTCAACCTTTCATGCTGTTCCTCATGTTGGGGTGACCCCCAACCATAAAATTATTTTCGTGGCTACTTCATAACTGATTTCGTTACTTTTATGAAGCAGGCAACCCCTGTCAAAGGGTCGAGACCCACATGTTGAGAACTGCAGTTCTGGCATCTTCCAACTAGGGACAGAATCAGAGTAAGCATGTCTGCAGTAACCTCTGCAGTGCTGCCAATCCAACTAATCCGGGCTGCTAAATCTGAACGTTGCTGGTTCAAACCCACCAGTTGCCTCTCAGGACAAAGAGGAGGAGGCTGTCTGCTCCCATAAAGATGTAAAGCCTCAGAAATCCTATATAGGGTTGCTATGAGTCAGAATAGGGGTTACACACCGGGCTGCTCACAACAGGCCAGCAGTTCAAGACCACCAGCCGCTCCACAGAAGAAAGATGAGGATGTCCGCTCCCATCCAGTGACCGTCTTGGAAACCCACCGAGGCAGTTCTACCCTGTCCCGAGTCCGAGTCGCCTAGACGGCAGTAAGGTTTTTGTTTTCTTAATGAGTGGGAATTTGGGTTTGGTTTGGGGCTGAGAGGAAAAGCTTGCAGGCCTGTGGGGGAGACTTCTGACAGTCTAGTCAATGCCGCTGGAAGTACTCTCTTTAGCCCCTTGGGTCAGATGCAAATGCAGACTCTTATCAAGTTGGTGGTCCTGGGACTGAAGTTGGATATTCACATCACCCAGGACTTCCCAAAAGGTTGTTTGAGAAACGTGTTCCACTTCTTGTACCGGCCTCACAGCCTCAGCCCACCCACCACGGTCCCCACCGTGGTTACAGCCAAGCGATGGGGAGAAGTGGAAAGAAATGTCCTAAGATCCCGTCTTGGAAACCCTGTGTGTGGGGTGGGGGGTTTCACTAGCATCAAGTTGATGGCAGCGTATTTAGTTTTAATTAGAGGCCACATGGAAGAAATGAGAGTAAGCTGATCTCAGTGGTTACAGCAACAATCATGAGAAAATGCTCAGGACGCTTTCTGAGAGGAAGATGATAGAGGAAATTAGATTAACTATAAGAAACCCACCCTCCTGAAATGTAAATGTCAGAAGTTTTACATAGAACCTAATTACCAAAAATAATCCACACCCTTTAAAAATCAACACACTAACTTCCCATTAACAAGACCAGCCAAAATATGTTTCATTACAAGCAACAAAACAAGCAATAAATACCTCAATCTGCCTTTTGCAAACGCGTATAAGCCCTGCCTATGCAGGGCTTCCCAAAAATTGGTTGTTGTTGTTTTGTGCCATTTAAAACTCAAAACAGCTCCATGTCCAGCACGCCTCTGATAAAGGACCAGAGACTGGTACTTTCTGGAAAGGAACCAGAGTATGCGAGCAGTCCCCGAAACGCATTTCTCGAGTAACTGTTACACCTAATCAAGTAATGGCGACTATTCAGGAGCCCAGTGGAATGACTTCTTTCCTTTAGATCGACAGTCCTATGAGACCATTCTCATTTTCCAAATATTAAAGAAAGGAAGATCTACTAGTTTTAAGTCGAAAATCGTCCTCTGCGCAATGCATTGTGGGTATGCAAAAGAGGCAGCGCGCTCAACCTCCGGTTTCCGGAACTCGTCTTCGCGCTGGGCTCGAGGCTGCCACTAGGGGGCAGGGCGGAGTCCCGGTGGTCGGGAACACCGGTCGGGTCCTCCCTCGGAGCACGCTGGCTTTAAAGTCGGCGCTTCAGAGAAAAAGGTATTTGTCATTCAAAAAAAGGGCTCGGGAGCATTATCTACATTAACTGCACAAAATGTGCCGAGCTCGGAGTCGGCCTTGTGTTGGGCCCTAAGAATGGAGGTAGGTCCCCACGATGCGATCTTCAAGGGAGTCTGCGTGGGAGACCCTGGGTGACACCTGGGTGAGGGGCGTGGCTAAAAGGCGGGACCCCGTCTTGACTTTCAGTGCCACCTGGGCTTAGAGTTTGCCTTGAGCGTGAAGCGGGCACCACTCACGAGTTCTCCGCGAGATCCCGTGTGCGGTGGACCCAGGACGGCAGCGTCCGCGTTTGAGAAATGCCCCTGGCCAAGCCCTGCTCCAGATCAGCTGAGGCGCAGCCGGCGGGTGACTTGGGCCCTGCTGGGTCTCATCTTCCGTCCCTGGTCTGTCCCCAAGAGCTCCCTTTCCCCTTCCCCGCCCCCACAGCACGCCAGCCAGGCAGCCCACATCCCTGGCCTGACCCAGACCCTTCCAGCCACTGGGCCCGGCCTTGGACCAGGGCCATCAGAACCAGCCTCCCTCTCGCATCCAGAAGCTGACTCCCCGCCATCGAATCCATTCGACCTCACAGTGACCCTACAGGTCAGAGCAGAACTGTCCTTTGGGGTTCCCGCCACGTTTACATCTTTTGAGGAGCAGGAGCCTGGGCTTCCTAGTTTAGAGCCGTTCGCTCCACTCAGCGCCCCGGCACAGGGGGGAACTGCCCCTGTGGGTTGCCGAGCCTGTAACTCTCCCGGAGGTAGAAAGCCTCCTCTTTCTCTCCCTTCATCCCAGGAGGCTCCCCCCAGTTTGTCTCTGCCTGCACCATGCAGCCAGGTCTGGGGACTGCCGGTGGGCACCCCCCTTCTTGAGTGGAAAGCCCCCGGGAATTCTGAAGAAAGGCTTCTGGCCCCTCCTGGGCATCCCCACGCCCCACCTTCAGGCAGCTGCCACCCACTATACCCCACCCCCCATGGATAGAGCTGTACAACAGGCACCCCCTGCCCCCCAAACAAGCTTCCTGCCATCAAGTCATAGTGACCCTACAGCACAGGTTGGCACTCCCAACGCTGCCACTCTTGACAGTAGAAAGCCCGTCTTTCGCTCACTGACGCTCCAGGGATTGACATCCTTGCGCCCTGGCTTGGGAGTGGGGGGAGCCATCCCCCCCAGGCTGACTTTGCAGTTTTTGTTTGGACTCACGGTGACCCCCGTAGGTGTCCAAGTCAAACTTTGGCCAAGTAGGGGTTCCTGTGGCTGATGGTTCCATAGACTGCCAGGCCTTTTTCGGGAGGTGCCTCCGAGTAGACTCAAGCATGCTTCCTGTGTGCACCGCTCAGGGACCCAAGCAGGACAGTCCTCGTCGTCCCTTTGAACTGCCCCCCCAGCATCCGACGGCTTCGCTTCCTTCTCACACAGGAATGCAGGACACGTGGTCATCAGCATTAGGGGTCTGCGCATAAAGAGAAGTGTGCTGGTGGATTGAGTCCCTGGTCCATGGCCCCTGCTGATTCCCACAGCGGGGACCCTGGTGCTCCTAGGAGGCTGCCTTGGCTGGCCTGGAAGGCACTCAAAACTCTCACTGCCTCCCACAGCCCCTGTTCACTCCACGGCGCTGGCAGCCATGACTGGGCATCTGTGGAGGACAGGGCCAGCCCTCCACCACTAATCACGGGTTCTATAGGCGCAATTGTCAGTTGAGATACATAAAGATTATAGTAAAGTCATGGAGAGCATGAGAGATAGAAGAGAGAGTGGAATAATGGAGTCTGACACATTTCATGGTAGCGTGCTCAACTCCTGGATGGCCATGATCCTACCAGCCAGGTCAGAACACAGCGTGGGCCAAGGCGAGGTGGGGCGGAGACCCGGCAGGAGGCTCGAGGACTCCATTTATTGCCAACCAGGGATAACATCTACTTCAAGGGGCATGATTGCAGGTAACCACACGTCACAGGAAGGGGCAGTACAATAGGCACACACATCATAGGAAGGGGATGTACGAAAGGCATAAGCGTGCCAGGAAGGGGATGAGCTAGGGGTGTGCCCATAGGAATGGGAGGGACTAGAGATATACATGTGACAAGATGGGTGGACCCTAGATTCATGATGGCGGCCTAACCTTGGTCACCCTTGGGTGGACTTGACCTCTCAGGGGTCTCCTCCAAGGAAACAGACAACTACTATCCTTATCAGAAGGGAGTGGGCCCTGCTTATTGTGGGATAAACAGTGGTGACTGCCTGCTCTGGATGGCTGATAACCCTTAGGGAGACTAACCCCTGACCTACTCCTGATGACCTCCAAGTGCATGGTCATTCGCAAGAGGCTAAGTTTGGCATTCATCTGGGGGAGACGACTTGGGAGAAATCCTTCTGTTTCCCACAGGCATCCCAGCCAGCCACCGGGGAGCGTGCTGGCCAGCTGTGCAGGTCCAGCAAGCCTGCTGGGGGGGCATGTTGGTACCAATCCCTCGCCCCGCCCCCTTGGCTCCTGATTGGTGGTTTCTGAGAAGGTTCAGGCTTCCTGGAGGGTGGAAGCCATCCTACCCTGCTTTGTCCCCTGCCTGAGGGCAACCTTTTCTTCCTCTGACTGCCTCCCTCTCTGGTCTGCTTGTCACCAGCACTGACGGGGGCCTGGGGCACTGCCGCAGAGCTTCATGGGGCTGCACAGACAGGGTTGTCTGTGGGATCATGGCAGGTAGTCTGCTGGGGCCAGGTCTATGAC